GGAAAGCGCTGATGGCTGGACAAACAAAGGCAGTGATAATTGGAAATGCAAAATGTTGGACTAGTTAAAAAATATTAGGGAGCTACATTGTTGACTTATGGAATATGAGGACTAACTTTGAAGTAGAAGATAAAGCCAAGTATGACACTGTTGGGAGAAATTGAGCTCTGTTTTGAATATTTGGATTTGAAATGTCAGTGGGACATGACCACTGGTCATGGACAAGATTGTTTACATCATCTTGAAGCCCATGGAAGAAACCTGGCAGAAGATAAAGATTTAGGAATAAGGGGTATATAGATCATCTAAGACATGGGAGAGGTTGAGATCACCCAGAAAGTGTGCATTGATTAAGTAGAAAAGAGGTTGGAGCATAGAACTCTGAGCAGCAAAAAGATTTAGGAGATGAGCAGAGAAAGCAGAACTTAACCAGAGATGCAGAGGAGGCAGCAAGAGTTAGGAGGAAAAGCAAGAGTGTAGCATCACAGATCCCTAGAGAGAGAGGTTTAGCAGAGTAGGCGAATGATATTACTTGTTGCACATGCATAAAATCAGAGGAAAACTAAACAGAATTTGCTAGTTCTCAATTGTTTGTGGCCATAGCACTGTCTGTTCTTTTCTCTGCAATTCCTTGCCTAGTTTGAATGGTACATCTCTTTATAGTTTGGACTTAATTTTTCCATGGGTAATATGAAAAGAAAGTTAATCCAAATACCATGCCACATTCATATCCTCTTCCAGGGGATAGTAGTAAAAAAAGAAAAGTGCATTAGTACTTGCCACTTACTTAATAATTCAGATTCTTTATTTTAATTCACAAAATAATCCTTTTAAGTACCATTTATAAAAGATAAACTTGAAAAGATTCAGTAAGGTCACACAGCTCAGAAGTGGCGGCACCAGTAGGGTTCAAACCTGAGTCTGACTTCAAGCACCTGCTTTTTAGGGAATGCTTTGATTCCTCTGAAGCAAATCCAACAGATGAAAATGGAAAAGTAAACACAAATAAGGATATATTTGCTATTTGAACATTTTTGCTGAATTGAATTTCAAATTGAACTCCATTACTTGTCATCCAAAAATTACGATGAGGGCCAGGGATTTAGCTCAGTGGTTCCACCACCTGCCTCACAAGCACAAGGTCCTGAGTTTGATCTCTGGTACCAAAAAAAATTACCATGAAGTATACTCTTATGCATATGTGTTTAAACTTTAATGTAGTTTTTAAAAAGTAAAAAAACCCCTTCCAAATATATTTTATTTACTAAGTTTATATTTTTTGTTATACCATCAAGCATTATTAATTACTTTCTATTATATTAATAGTACTGTATTTATTCTTTGTGAAGAATATTGAGGGTTTTTTTTCTCTTTTACAAATTAGAGGACTACAATAGGAAATCTCTTTTTTCTTGTTTTTTCAAGGATAGAAAGAAAAACATTTTATATGGCATTAAAATCCTTCTCTGTCACCTATATGATCACTGACAAACAATTTCCTATGATTTTTAAAAAGTTCAAACAGGGCGGGGGATTTAGCTCAGTGGTGCCACCGCCTGCTTTGCAAGCGTAAGGTCCCGAGTTCAATCCTCAATACCCGCCCCCGCCCCCCCCGCCCCCCCCCCCCCCCCCCCCCCCCCCGCAAAACCAACCAACCAACCAAACAAACAAACAGAAAGTTCAAACAAACTAGGAATATTTCTGGGTGACTTTAAGATCTGTCCCTAAAAAGATTGAGCTTTATCCCTACTTAAAAGATCCAAGAGTAGTAATAGCAGCCCACTTACCATAATTTAAATATTTAGTTATGATAAAACTGTTAAATATATATTCTGGTGTGTTCCTTTGACAAATGTAGCTTCATAATAACTCAGAGAATCAGAACAGAATTCTTGAACTTCTTGTTGATCTTCTCCAGAGTGCAGGGGCCTGCCTTTCTTCAGTTTCTGTCTCCATCCTACACTGCGGGATCATTGTAGGTGAATGAATGCCATCCTTAACTTAAACAAAACAAGAACAGATGGCAACGGCCTCTTCTTGGTCTTAGAGTCACAAACACCATGGTCTTCCCTTAGGAGTAGGGGCCTAGGAAGCATCTCACCCAGAGCCTGGCATGGAGCCATTGAGGTAGGGAAATTCAGGATCCTGTACATTTGGAGCTGCCCATGAATAGGGGCATGAGTGGCATGCTGTATTTCTGGCTCTGTTTCTGGGTAGGATTCTTGCCTCTGTGTTGTGTGGTGAAGGAGGGCCGGAGTGGGGCCCTCTAAAGTGTGAGGCCCCCGGAATGGACCACACTTCCCTTAGTCTGAGTGATACTGCTTCAGGGTTTTACACTGCCATGGTAGAGGCAGAAGAGCTCTGCTCAGTCACATTGCTGGTAGGTGAAATCCAAGGAAAAGTATAGCTAATCTTTATTCCTACCAAATGCTAATGATTATTTAAGAAAAATCTATCTTGATGTGAAATTTCTGGAAAGATTCCCAGGAGGTCCTTGGAGCCCATCATCCCTCCCTGTGCACTGACTTTTCTTAGACTGGTGCTCACTCATCATACTATAAAATTGAGCCTGAATTATTTCTTCATTTTGCTCCTTCTTGGCTTCAGTTATCTTAATAAGTGTAGGGAGTGAGTGCTGTTATTTAGTCTGAACTCTAGATACTTGCTATTTAATCTTTTCTTTTGATATTATAGACCCAGTTTACTAAAGAGATATGTACATTCATGATTTTTCTATAGACTTAGGATTCAAGGAAAGATTTCTTTCTTCATTCTATTAAGTTTCAAGTTATAGTCGCCACCATGGACAAGACAAGTAATTAGCATTAGAGAAATATACATTACAACTTCTTTCCTGTATAATGTTTCTTGAGAAATACTATGGAGAAGTCAGAAAAAATTATTTCCTAAATTAATAATCATTGTTTATCTCATTCTTGAAGGAAAATACATTAAACTCCTGTGTGCTATTTAAGTTTCAGACAATTTTGAGACAAAATTTAACATATAATATTCAAATTAAATTTTATAAAATCTATAATCTTAATTTTTGATTTATATTTAAATTTATAGTTTTCTAAAATTAAATTTTACAAGATAGATAACATGAAAATAGTTAAAAAGCAAACTTGAAAATATTTGCTTATGCAGTGTAGGCTTTTCAACAGTTATTTTTAAAGTCTGAGGAATTAGGCACCTGTCATTTTTGCCAGCTGGTGTGGATGTTAAAAATTACTGTCACTCTTCTGCCCGCTACCCTATTTTGCACCTGCTACTACTTGAGTTACGGGCCTTATACATGGTAATTTAATAAGTTAGATTCTATGACAGTGTACTTGATGTTATTCCATTGTGGATAAAGCAGTTTTATAAGGTCTTGAAGGAAAAGTATTATATATATGAAGGTTGAAACTAACAATCTAGTACCTTGTAGGCATCTCAATTTTCTAATTTAAAAATTTAAGGAAATGCAGGAGATAGGACATTTAGTTACAAATTCTGAAACAAAAATAGGTGATTTATAATTGGACTATTTGTACCAGTCAATTTCTCTATGTTGTGACCTTCGAAATTTTCAAATGTAAAAAATGATGTTTTTGGGTCCAGGGATTTAGCTCAGTGGTTCCGCCACCTGCCTCACAAGCGCAAGGTCCCAAGTTTTGATCCCCGGTACCAAAAAAAAAATGATGTTTTTGTCTGATGTCGTATCTAAAGATAAACATAAACATATTGAGAATTGTACTGTTCAATATGACAGCCATGACACTATTGACTATTTAAATTCAAATTGAATTGAATTGAAGTGAAATATACTTATTTCATTCCCCATTTCAAGTGCTCAGTAACCACATGAGTCTAATGGCTTACCATAAGGTCAATGCAGATTTAGATTTCCATTCTCACAGAGGTTTCTGTTGGTTGGTGCTGTGTGTGATTTCCAGTTCCTGGTCTTAGATAAACAGCCTTTAGGATCATGAAATCACAACACATTCTCCTTAAAGGAGTAATTGTAATGTCCCAGAATCTTATTGACTAGAAAACCATAGGTTAAATCTGAAGTGTTAGCTACTGGAGTCCAAGTGACTTTTGATAGCTAGAATGACCTTACTGACTCCCAGTGTCAGAAAAAGTTTCAACTTCCAAAACCGTGTAGATAGGCAGGTACTTTATGAGATTTTATACTCCCATGTTTTACAATTCTCTTTTTAGAGATAACCATTTATCACTCTTCTAAATATTCAATAATAACTTTCAGATTCTGTTCTAATGAAAAAGTGACCTGTGATATCATTCTGAGATGATCAAGTAAATTTACACTATAATTTTTTCTGGCAAATAGTCTTACTGTTTTTACATGTGTTAAATGCTAAATAGATATTTGAGGACATGAACATGCAAAGGAAGGGAGACAATAATAGGAAACAGAATATTAATAAATAGGATTTGGTGGGCCCATAATTCTATTCCCAGAGAGGTGTTTTTTTTCCTTTTTAAATAACAATTGAAAGGTCACTTTAAATTTTATCCTTGAAAATATCTGGGGAGTTGAATTAAGGACTTGTTAGTGTTTTCTAATAGGTCAGATTGTTACTAAAAGTGAAACAGATCAAGCCATAAACAAAATAAAATACACATCTGAAAAACTCTTTTGCCTTTACTTGCTTGGATAATTTATATTAAAACATGTCTGATCTTACAAGAGTTGTCTCAGTTCTCAATTTTACTTTTTCAACAATATATGATTATCTTTTTAAAATTATTTTTTGGTACCGGGAATTGAACTTGGGACCTTGCACTTACAAGGCAGGCGGTGGAATCACTGAGCTAAATCCCTGGCAATATATGATTATCTTTATTATTCAGTTTGTTACTGCTAAGAAAACTGCAACAATTCTTTTATAAGTTTATAGATCAATATTCTGTACATTTAATGAAAAAATTGAGATTTCAAAAATTACTTTCATAAAGTAAGAAAATAAAAACACAGTGTGACTTGAACATTCCAGACTGACCAAAATTATTTATTGATACAGAATTTTAAGGATGCTTATTGACCCATGATAGATAATAAAGAGTGGTACTGGGATTTGAGATTGTCAGTATTTTATTCTTTTTGTCTAGTGCAGCAGATGCTTGGTTTGTGTGGTAGCAATACACTTCAGAGAAAATCTCAAGATATATAAAAATTCAGGAAGTCTTTCAGTCTAGAACGTTCCAGATATTTTATTTTTCCAAATGATGCCAAACATCAGTCCTGGGTGTTATCAAAATGTGATTCCAGCCAGTCTTCCTAAACAATGTTCTGTAAAGGAAAAGAGAAAATGAGTTAGAAAATGAGTTAGATGTTGATTTGACCTTTTCAATTCATGAGGAAAATAATGTGAAGTGCAAACAAACACAAAGCACAAAATGAAATGTTTTAAGAACCTGGTTATAAGTATTTGAATTTGGACTGTCACAAAATAGTTTTGTAGAGCAGCAATTATTAAAAATTAATTTAGTTATTCAAAGAGCTTAGTGTTATGCTTTTATTATTGTTATATTCCAACTAAATTAATTGACTAGTCTCTAGTTAGTTGAGTCTCCCTTCTATAATCACACTGCAGTTAAAAAGATAGGATTTATGGATGAGAGCAAGAACCTCATTAAGTTTTTGCTTGTATGCTCATATAAATATGTTTTATTTCTAAATAATCCATCTCCAAGAATTGAATATTTTTGGTTCCTAATTAAGAGTTATTTAATGGGAACCAATGTTAATTATAGAAACCAATGTTAATTATATCTACAGTATATAAAATGAAGCTGTTAATTTTTTAAAAATCAGTAAAACCTGTGTGTTAAAGACAGAACAGGGATATACCTTGAAAGGTCCGCTTAGATAGACATGATGTGCTTGACAAAAGCTGTTGGGGTAATATAGACAATGTAGAGTTAGGAAACAGTTAAACTTAATTAAAGAAAAGTTTAGATTTGACTTTATTTTCTAGATTACTATCTACTCATCCAAACCATACTATTAAATGATCCTTCAGTGCAATGTATTTATAGCAAAAACCAAATGTGAACAATTGTTCAGAGGAAAAAAAAGTCAAGTTCAATCAAGATTGCCAGTGAACGTCTGCTTGACTGAGTACTTTTTCTTTTCTCTCTTCCTTTCCCTTCTTTTCTTTTCTTATTTTCTTCTATGCTTTTCATTTTTTCTCAGTTGTCAGACTTTGTAAATTTATATTTCCATCAAAGCTATCAACAGAGGCTTATTGAAATGTTATTAGATTAGTCTTCCTTGGGAATGACACATTTTTAAATTTTACTAGAAGTTTTAAAATTTGCAAATTAATTTCATACAGATTTATTTTGCACCTTAATTTTACGTAGTGATTTCCTTTCATATCCTTTGGGTGAGGGTGCTATGATGGTAGCAGGATGTAAATAATTAGACAACTTTCATATGAACAAGAACCCTAAACAAAGTGAGCTAAGTTTTAAGGCCTGCCCTGAATTAGTTATTTGACCTTCACTAGGTAACTAAACCTCCTTGGTCTCCAGCTTCCCCATTTTTATCATCGTTTGGTATTAGTGAAAGACTTTGACATCTCCTCAACTTTAATATTCTATTAAATTTAATTTAACTCTGACACAAATCCTGTGTATCTCAGAGGGACACTGTGAAGATTTAACAAGAAAATACACGTGAAAATGCATTTGAAGCTGTAAAGCAATGTACGGGATTGCCAAAACACATTGGAATAAATATATATCTGAATATATATATTTCAGGATACTCATAGGATATCTTTTTAGAGTTATGAAATTGATTGATAATAAACAATGTGCATATCAATGAAGAAAATAAGTTCAAAAGGAGTCTGCCATTAACCCAATCAGCAAAAAGTTGCTGATTCCTCAAGTGCACACTGGTTGTACCTTCATAGTTGATGCAGCCATTGGAATCTTCTTGACCAGCCATCAGGGCTTCCACTTCTTCCTCTTTCATCTTTTCACCTGATGAAACAAAAGCCATTTTGTAGAAACAAGGCCACATGATATTTTCAATATTCTGCCATAAGTGATCAGCCATGGGGCCTTGGGAACTATCACAGAATTCTTATAGGACAATATCTGTTCCCTTACTCTTTCCCTGACATATAGTGGATTGCAAATAAGTCATTTTTGAATGAATGAATTATGCACATTATCCTTTTGTCAACCAAACTATAATGTATAAGAATGACTATGCATTGCCTCTTCTTAGTTTAAGTTACGATTTTCCTAAAAAAACATTGAAACTGAGCCCAATTGAATGGAGGGCAAGGGAATGGGGGAAAAAAAATAAGAACCAAGATATATTATGTAAAGGTACAAATTCCCATAATGAATGTCAGCATGTTGTATACCTAAAATGTACCAATAAATATAATAGCCACATGTGACAAAAAAGTCATTAATTTTGATGATTTTTTTGTTTTTCCTTTGTAGTCATCCTTCTTACCTATCTCAGTTATGATACAACTCTCTTGTCATGCTATTTCCTATATATTCTGTCCTGCTAAATCCACTGAAATAAATTCTCCTTACCCAAGGTTGCTAGAACATGGCGGAGCTCAGCACCCATCACTGTGCCATTGCCTTCCTTGTCAAAGACACGTAGACCCTCAACAAAGTCTTCATAGGTGCCCTGGTCCTTGTTGTTGGAAATAGCTTGCATCATGGGTAGAAATTGTTCAAACTCAATTCTCTTGGCATTCAACTCTGGAAGAAAATGCAGTTTAGAAAGTTAGTAGCTATTATTTAGTTCTGTCTCTGAGTCACAAATAAAACTTGAAAGTTCATTCCCCTGACCTAAAAAATATTCATACAGCTTAAATTTCAGTTGGTAAATTGCTAAATATAAAAATTTCATGATAGGCAATAGTATGAGCTCTGGAGTCTTAAAGCCAGGCTTTTATCAACAATCTACCAATCCACCAGTCCACCATTTTCAACTATGTAACAGTGGACAGCTTCATTAATGATTTGTGTATCAAATTTTCATCTGTAAAATAGAAATACCTCATAGTGTTATTTTGAGACTTAAATAATTTTTTTTTTTTGGTACCGGGGATCAAACTTGGGACCTTGTGCTATGAGGCAGGTGGCGGAACCACTGAGCTAAATCCCCAGCCCAAGACTTAAATAATTTAATGCACGGAAAGCCTATTAATACTTGAGACAAATTGAGTGTTTAATAAATGTTATCTATTATTTTATTAATATTGTCAATTTTCTACAAATACCAGGGAAGCAATATAAAATTACATTGGGATACTAGAAAATCCATCAATATAGTAAAACAACTGAACTTTGTTACATATTTAACCTATGTCCTGAGCTTTGGTAAGACCTTTATTTTTTACAATTTTAAGTAATTTAAAAAAAGAAGGTTATGAGGATATGGTGTGTGTCAAATATTCTGTGATATCCTGACTTCTTTGCAGTGTAGAAGACTGGAGATTGCAGAACTTTCTTTAGTATTTCTGACAAGGTAAATCTTACTCATGGTAAAATTTAGATGTCTATTCAGATGTATATCAATGGATAAAATTATATACTCCTAAAATAAAAATTGTCATGTTCTTTTTTCATAGAATAGAAATTGAATACATTGAGTAATATTAGAAAGATTAAATTTGAGTTCTGAGTAAGTTCATGAAAGAAGAATGTTGAAAAGTTAGACAATGCTATTATAAAATAAAATTTGCCTGTTGCTTCCTTACTTTATCTCATACTCTCATCTACTTTCTGAGTGACTTAACTTGGAATTTCTTCCAAAGAAAATGAAATGTGAGAAAAATTCCATTAGACTGATTCAGAAGTAAGTTCTTTTAAAAATCAAGTTTGTTTTCCTTTTTTTTTGTAGAGGGGATTGAACTTGGAACCTTGCACTTGTGAGGCAGGCACCGGAACCACTGAGCTAAATCCCTGGCCCTTGTTTTCCTTCTTTAATAAAGGAAAATCTCCACATTTTTAGTTATCAAGGAAAAAAGAAAGATTATTTATCCCCTCCCTTCTACCTTTTCCCTAATGGCAAGGATAAACAGCCCAAATATCTACTTGAGAAAACTTTGGTTTTGTGTTCTTTTTGTTTAGAGCCGTATTTTCCAATAGATTATTATACTTTGCCATGAACCACTGGGATTAAAAACAATTTCTTTGTTCTCAAGTAATGCTTGGATTTCTATATTAAGTGAATGAAGTCTATAATCTTGCCACTAATGTATTTCACTGATTTTTGTTTCAGGATTTACCTTGGGAGAATGGATGCAGGTTTGGCTTTGGCTTTATAAGTTTTCAGTAATTTAAATGGAAACAGAAAACACTCATTAAGATGTAAATCTGTCTATTCTTAATTAAGATAGTTAAATTTCTTTGAAGGTAGCCCCAGAAGCAGTGTCAAAGGACAGAGAACAGGCAAAGTCAGCAGGTATTTTTTAATCATTTCAAAACATTGGAACTTTATTTCCACAGTTTTTAAAATTATTGAATAAATTTTTCTCTAGAAGTATGCCATTGAAATTTACTCAAAATTGTATACAACTGCATTGTGTTTTAGCCATACTTAACATCTTTGTAAAAATGTTTGCTTTTGAGGGTCTGAATTTGGGAAATGTGCAGAATCGGATATTATTTCATTTCAGTGGCAGTTACATTATAAAAGTCAGATATGGTGAGGGTTATAGTCTTAGCATTAGGGTTTTTTTTTTATTAGCATGACATCTTATCTTACTTTCAGATTCTCAAAGGAAGAGTAACTTATTTTATGAGTAGAAAAAGCTGAGACTTCAGATGGTCAAGAGGTACATTTGCTATCCTCAAGAGTAAACTGAGTTCTAGTATGTAGAATTTATTATTTACTTCTCAGTCACCCTCTCCCCTCTCTTCTTTATGCAGACTACACACACACACACACACACACACACACACACACACTTCACAGCACTTCCCTAGATCTTGGAACACCTGCTGATGTTACCTTCATTGCTAGGGTTCCCCAGAACCTTCTTGACTTCTGCATTGGTGGGATTTGTGCCCAGAGCCCGGAGGACATCACCGACCTGGTTTAAGGTGATCTTGCTGTCACCTGTTCTGTCAAACAAGAGAAATGCCTCCTTGAATTCTGCAAAAAGCAAAGAACATTAAGGTGGTATTTAATTCCTCAAACACTAATTAACCCCAACTCTTTCAAGGACTCAGTTCAAACTCTTCTGTCTTTTACAACTTTTGCCAACCACTCAAGTTGTTATCTTCAGACTCTGTTTTCTGATCTCAAACAAATATTGGCAAATTCTTTTGGTGTTTCTTTTCGGGATTATGTTAAAACAACATTCTCTGTCCTCAGCCATATGTTATTTTAATCAGATATAGAAACTGGAGCTCTTAGTCATATTTCCTTCACCTGCTGGGAAGCAGGACTGGGTTAAAAGATTCTGAAGTCTTGAGAAATCTTAATAATCTTCACATAACCCTTCATATAAGTAGTAAGGTGAATACAGTTTTATGAATAAATGTTTTTAATCAATGTTGTCTTATATGAGATTAACCCAAATTTCTCAAATTATATAGAAAATCTCTTGAGATACAATTTCCTAAGTTGTCTTCTTAACTAGTTTTTTCCCCCTAGAAATAACTTCATTTTTCAGGAAAAAGTTAGAAAGGTGAGACAAACCTGTAAGTTTTAGAAAGGTGAGACAGACCTGTAAGTAGGCTTCTAGTGTCTAGCATTCAGAAGGAGAAATACTTTTGGATTGATTGCTATGAGACTTTCTTTATACTTCACTTTTCCCCCCAGATAATAGAGATGCAGCATGTTGTTATACTAGCTTTAGAATTTCAGTACATCTTTTAAATTGAAATGTACAGAAATAATTGTAAATTCACATGCAGTTGTAAGAAATAATTCGGAGAGACTCCTTGTATACTTTGTCCAGTTTCTTCCAAATGTAACATTTTGCAAAATTATAGTATATTATTAAAACAGGCTGTTCACATTGGTAGACTCCGTGATTCCATTTATATTTCCCTGGTGTACTTGTGTTCATTTGTGTGTGGTGTGCATTAAATATACATTTTAAAGTGTTATTTCTTCTTATCACAATCACTCAATTTGTCATTTCTGTTACTTTTTGTTACTATCTTTTGATAGAATTAGTGTTGTCCTTCAAATGACAATGACAAAGAATTTTGAAATATGTAACAAAAAGGCTGGAAAGGGGCTTACTATGAATTTAGGGTCTAGTAAAGGCACTTTAACTGAAATTTCTAAACTTATCAAATAACATTTCCTCAGAAACCCAGAAGTACTAATGGTGAATTTTTAGAATTAGTACTAACCACCCTCAAAAAAACCCCCAACAAACCAGTTATGAATGAACTGATAGAACTGAAAGCATTCTTTTCTGGTTCTCAGTGGTCTCAGACCACAGGACACTGTCTAGATAGGTCACTCAGTCAAATATCTTATCTCTCTCTCCACCCCCTAATCTAAGATTACACCAGACTCTACATTCACAAGTAGCTATAGATTGTGTCACCATTCTTTGCTAAAATCCTATGCAATTTGTCTATAACAGATCATTTCCCTAGCATGCTGTGGGCCCCGTGGTGTAACTAGTCAAATATTACTTTTCATCCTTCTAAGGGACATGTGAGACCGAATTATTCTTGTACTGGCTCCAGGCTTTCAGACACAGAGTGCTCAAGGGCTCAAAATTACCCTTGTCAGATGCTGATGTAGATGCAGGATTTTATGGGCTGTAATGGAATCACTCTGACATGAACTCTTTTGATTTAAAGGCAGAGGCCAGAAAAATACTATTCTGACCCCAGATTGTTAACCTAAGGCTAAGTTATTCTCTTGAAGGTGTGGAACATAGACTGACCAATTACTTCCCCAGGCTGCCTGCTTTTTTTCTTTTTTTAAGGACATTTGGTTGGGAGACAGCCATGCCCATTTGTTTATGTATCGTCTGTGGCTTTTTTCACACCTTGGTGACAGAGTGGAGTTGTTTTTACAGACAATACTGCCAGTAAAGACCAACAGCTGTCTAGAATGATGTTATTCTAGAATGTTTAGATAATGATGAAATTGTTCTCTGCTTCAAAATGTAACTACTAGCTATGGCCCTTGAACACTTAAATGTCACTAGTGCAACTGAGAAAATAGATTTTGAAATTTACTAATTTTTAATTAATTAAATCTTAAATAGTTACTGGGGTTTGTGGCTACATTATTGGACAGCATAGGACTTAAACTTTAGAATGCTACAATTTGCTAGTTTTCTTTTTTCCTTCAGTGTTGTTTTTTCCTTTCCTTCGATTCAAATAGATGAGCATGAGTAACAGTCTTTAATTTTAAACAAAGAAACAGACTAGAGGAGTCTTCACTCATTTTTGAAAATATAGCATTTCTGTTTAACAGCTTGCATTTCTTTTCCCAACTCGAGAATATACTAGTCTGTTACACCAATGTTTACCCAATTTGTGTGTCTAAAACCTCTTTCATATGTGGAGTAATAAGTTTCATGTTTAGCAACAAGTCCTTTTGTCCCTGCAAGAGTTTTAAAACCATTCATCGCTCAGTGCTACAGTAGTATGGCAATCATAAACACACTGTAAATTAGATATCTGACAGGATAGTAGCTGATAAAGTAACATCGTTATTATTTAAAAGTGCACTGGACTCAAATTATATAGTAGAATTACTAAATGTTTTCAATAATAAAAAATAGTCCTTCATAGTATAATCTCAAATGATCTTGAGTCTACCTAAGGATATCAACTAGCTTTTCAGTCTGCGTAAGACCATCAACTATGATGTTTCATTTTTTCTTAATTGATGTCAAATAAGACAAAGATGACACAGGAATAGACTAAAGGATGTAGACTTCTTCAGGGAGAAAATGATTTGAACAAGTTCTTATTAGTCACCCATATTTGTTTATATCTCATGTCATAATCTATATGTCTGTCCCGCATGTCCAAAAAAGGGTTGGCCCAGTAGATTTTTAACAGTTCTTCCACAAACCTTTGATAAATTATTCCTTCCTCTTTCTCCCTACAACTCACTATGGTGCCCATTAAAATGTTGGCACCATAGATTTGGTAATCAGGCAGTTTTAGAACCAATTTTATTTTCCAAATTGAACAATTCAGACTTATAAAATCTCTCTTCAGGGATTTGGTTAGCCTTCTAAAATAGATATTCTTTTGTGGGTATATTCATGTCTGATATTATCAATTGGATCAAATTGGTTTTATTTAAAAATCAGTAAATATAAGGACTTACTTTGCAGTATTTATCTTTTATTTGCTAAAATCTTTCATTACTGATTACAAGCAAAGGTTTCAGTTTCAACACATTTATATTTAGAGTGGCAACACCAGTGCAGATAATTAGGAAGAGCTTAGTTCATCTTCAGGGAGCTGGTTTTCTCACATATCATCTTTACGATTGCACACATATTAACAACCATAGCTTTTAAACTTACCATCCTGTTGATCCTTAGAGAACTCGATCTGTTAGAAAGAAATTAATCACAAAGAATATTTTAAGCAAACAAAAATGTCCTGATTTTTAAGTGTATCTAGCTCATTCCCTGAATAATCTTCAAAGTAAGCTCCAAAATCAGCCTACTTTTCTGAATTCAGGCATGGCTTAGACACTAACAGGTTGAGCCACAAAGTAGCATGCTTTGGAGTTTAGTGACATCTCAGAAACGAGGCAGTGCTCTGCCTACATCTGCAGTAGAGAAGCTCAAACCACTTACCGGCAATCTGGTCAGCACTGAAGGACTGCAGTGGCGAGAGAGAGAAAGAAAGAAACAACTAGTACTCTTTCAATGCATTGACAGAAAAATGAGTGCTCTGTACTTGGAGACTTTTAGGAAGCTGTGCAAGTGTCATAGCATAAGAAGTACTGCTAAATCTAGGAACATAAATATCTATTGCAAAAGATAATTAGGAGACTTTTCTCTGTATCTTAATCAGTGAATCGATGCAACAAATGCAAAATCAAATACTTTTTAGAATAATATAATAACCTATGATGTAACTAAGATATTCCTAATAAGACACACTAAATTAAAAAGTACTGATAAATTGTATTTAAAAGGGAATCTTGTTTTTCTGCTGTTTCAGCATTATATTTTTATATTTATATAGAATACCTAAAGCATCAGAAATAGTTTACTTAACTTTTCCAATCAGTATTATTGGATTGTGTCTTAAGATATAATATTTTGCTATTGTTGCAGGATTTTTTTTCTAAATTTAGATATAATAAATCTCATCATGTGATATAGCAAAAGTTGGTGAAGCATAAAGGACTGTACTGGGGAGTAAGTTGTACTGTTCCAGTTGGCATGATAGCTCCAGTTAATTTCTTCTATTTATCAAAAATCAAAGGTAGATTCTAACAATTCGTGCCAGCTCATGTTCTCTCCTCAATTCTATTCTTTCTCAGCCTTTCTTCTCAATAAGCTCCTCGAATTCCTGTATCCTCCTCTCAGAGTGTTTTCTTGTAGGACCCACCATGATGGAGTTGCTGGTCTGCAGAACGAAGCTGAGGAGTGCGTGAGGGCTGCTCAGTCCCTGAGTGAGTCCTCTTTCTCCAAGGCCTTCTTTTATTTCTGGACAAACTGTGACCTCACGGCTAGCATCAGATTTCTGAGGGAAGTAGCCACTCCCCCCAGAGAGTTCTTTAGCTTTCTTAGGGCAAAGAGTAAGACGGATCTCTACCCTGACAGCTATTTTTAGAAAACTAGATCCTGGGAGTGGACAGCCATGCTGAGACCGAAACCTGTCAGTACTTTTAAGGTCTTCATCTCCCAGATGTTCGCCAGCAATGTCTTCTTTTAAGAAACTGCCTCTTTGTTCAGTGAAGAGGAGCTCAGAATTTTTCTAATATTTCAAACTGATCCCTTTTATGGACTTGGTCAAAAACAAGTCAGCAAATTTTGATATTAATGAAACTTTTCGGTGGGATTAGCTTGGGGGTTGAAATGACAACTCCTGTAGAAAGAACATCGTCTGAAGTTCTGTCTCTTTTGGTAAGATTCAGAGGATGTGAAAAGGCCATGCCCACTCTGTGTTTCCCAGAGTCACCCAATGGCAATCCAGTCTCCAATGAAATATTGCTCTTTTGTAAATTGGATTCTCAGGAGTACTATCTAAGCAAGAAATGGTTTTGAGCTCCAGCTTTTACCATTTTCCTGACATTGACATTAGGTCTGCATATTTTCTTCATGGTGGCTGACTAGTCAAGTTTTTGAAATTTTGAAGAAAAAAGCTTATAAACTGATAAACTAATAGAAAGCTGATAAACTGTTTTTGTGCTCTTTTTAAAAAATTAACAAAAGTTTTTACTAGAACATATTGATTCTGTTTCTGCTTTGTCAAATACTTTATGGTTCAATCTCCAGAATGAGAGAACAAAGCAAAACAAGTCAAGAACTGTGGAATGTAAAACTGTACTTTAATATTTTAAAGACATCTAAGGAATTATCTAGCTATGAATTTTCATGGCAACTTACCTGAGAATAGGGGGAAATTCCCTTCCTGTACTGGTATTGGAAAAAGCAGTAGTAAAAAGATCATCTCTAGGACCCCGTGAAGTTCTTTATCATTTTCTACCTATTTAAAGCAGTTCACAGGCACAATGTATGTTGGAGATGAATTCTAGTTTAAGTACTCTTTCGCAACTGTTTTGAAGGATGGTCATAAAAAGCGTGGTCTTTCTTACTAAAAAGACCTATGCCTTAAAACTTCTCTTCAAACCATTTTACAGGAAATCAGCATTTAAATGTCCATCATACTTGGCTCAAAGTTTACAGGTTATGAAAAGATCTCATAGGATCCTGCATCCTAGGACTGAAGGATTGAAAATATAGTTCTAAAATTATTTGTACATATACCTATACATTTTCATAAACATAATGAGATTTTGAAAGATTGTTAAGAAATGAAAGTAAATAGAAAAATTAAAAATGTTTTGAATTATTAAGGGGAATGGAAGGGAAGAAAAGAGTGAAAATTTGTAATTGGAACATCATGACCTTTGATACACAAATTAAAGTTATTAGAACAGACTATTTTGTGCTTCTTCAGTTTTGTAATTATATTTATGTAATTGTGTCATTTAATTTGAATTGCTTTATGACTATCACTGAGAACTAGGTTATATCTTTAGTAAAGCTACAAATACTGAATTAAACATCAAAGTTACCTTAGCAGAGATGATAGTCATTTTAATATTTTATTCTTTTCTTCAGGTAGAAAAATGAGTCTTGTATACATACAAGGTACAGTCAATTTGTATAAAGTCTGTTAGGTAAAGTAGAAAGTCATTCAAAATTTGCATTTATGTTATAAAAGACCCATTTCTAATCATTTGGTTATCACATGAAATTCAAAGAGAAGCTAAAAGGAGTAAGAAATTGTCAAATTATTTCACTATGGTCTTTCTCCATATCTTTATTACATAGAGAAGAAATCTTTAGATTATTTTTACCCTACTGAGAATCAAAATAGAAATTTGATTATGTTATTTGACAATCATGAAGGCTACAGTTTAGCTCAGTCTAGAGCAGTGGTGGCGAACCTATGGCACCATTCTCCAGCAAGCCGTTTGTATCATTGAAAGCTCTAAAAGGTTTGTCATCACTGGTTTAGGGAATGAACAATTGTTTAAAAGTTAGAAAGCCTAGAATCTGTGTTCGTAGAATAAGTGGGAAATGAAATTTATTACTAATACACTTTTATAAATGACAAAACCTACTGCAATCTCTTCCACGGCATTGTAAATAGTCACCCCTTTGAAGAAAGCCAAGATATGAAAATATGTCAGCCAATTTGGGCCTCAAATTGTTATGCTATTTTTTAAAACTTGGCTTCCCTCTAATCTGTCTGGCAGGCTGTCCTCTTTTTTGTTTTAGAAATGAAATATTCTTCAAAGCTCTGATAAAACTCTCCTGTTCTTGAAAGAACCTTTTCTTCTCTATGACTCTTGCAGCTCCTTTTTCCCACTGCAAGTTGTTAACCATCCTGTCTGACCTTCTGGAAGCATTGGCATTTCTGAAGGCCATTTGTTCCTAAGGTGGACCTGGGTGTGTTCCTGCCCTAACTACCCCCATCTCCAGAGTCCTGGACCTCCCCTGTCTTGTTCTTAGGTGTTATCCCATTTAACTCTGCAGGGTAACTCACCTCTATTAGATGCACAATAGAATTTTATTCAATTATAACTTTTTGAACAAAAGGAGGTCTCATAAGCTCCTCCTTCAAACATTAGTTCTAGAATATTAAATTCTCCTAGGCCAGACTCCATCTGTTCTTTTCAAGAGCTTATATCATTGAGAAATTGCATCCATTCTCTTTCAGTGTTGTATTTCTAAGACTTAGAACTGCCTAGCATGGAGTAGGCCTGGTCATCTTGAATTACTGATATATGTACTTTATATTTCCAGTACCTCCCCTTAGATTTTATATAAATATTTATGATCCAGACATTGAATTTGCCAACCTTCAATTTATTTTTTAAGGACTCTTTCTTATCCTAGCCCACATTTTTATCTAGACTGTTAGTAGATGGCTGCATTCCATATTTTTATCACTAGTGTATAATCATCTTGGTTTTGGATTTAGGTAAGTAATAGTCTACACATTACTGATGCTAAAAAGAATTTTTATTGTAATGTTTACCGATTTCTTTTATACTTTGGGAATCATATCATGAAGTTTGGTTAACTGACTAAAATAAGATAAAGTTTCTTCTATGCAGAAGTAATTTATTTATAGGAAAAATATAAAAATGTAATTAATTTAACAGGCTCTAAAATTGATGTTTGTTAAGTTTTGGAACAAAGAAGAACCATAGTTAAAATAATCTGGGAAATACGTGATGTTCAGTACTGGGGGAAAATAGCGTAGGCAGGAACATAGACTACAGTACAGTCTTCAAAGAATTTCATCATCCCTATGGGATGTAATGGGGACTGAGGACTGGTAAGCCTAGGTAAAGCTAACCTAGTCAGGGCCAGTTTTCAATCAGGAGAACATTGGTGCCTGCAGAAAGACTAATGGTCTAGATGTATTTGTAAGTAAACCCTTAGGGAAAAAATCCAGTTTCATTACAATCTCACAGAGTTTCTAGAACCCACTGTACAAGGTCAATAGAAGTACTATTTTGTAACCCTTAGAATTTTGTGCTTCAGAATAACTCAAGTCAAAGAAAGACATATTTTTCTTTTTTTTAATTTGTCAAAAATGTCTAGGGCCGGGGATTTAGCTCAGTGGTGCTGTTGCCTGCCTTGTAAGCGCAGGGTCCTGACTTCGATCCCCGGTACCAAAAAAAAAAAAAGTCCGTGCTTAGGTTGGTTAGTATAATAAACAGGAAAAATTAAGAAAAATGAGAATACAGTACTAGCCTATTTTCTCTGAACCAAGAGACATTAGAAGATTGGATGGGAGAAGTTGACCTGAACTGAGACAAAATGCATAATTGTGTTCTTACTAGGCCTAGA